TTGTTGGAGAGACATTGATTTTGAATCAATGAGTCGTTTTAGTGCGAACTATGATCAATTTCCCGTGATTAAAGTTTTGTCCTCCATATAAGAAACGACACACGTTTCCTCTTTTCACAATTAAAGCTTTCTACAGGATGCCGGAGTCGAAGATTTATGTACAATACGAAAACTAGTTCGACGATATTTCGGTAACGGATCGTAAAAAATAAGTGGACCAAAGTAGTGTGGGAACTATTTCCGTTTTATTTTTCGTTTCTTTGATTGATCTTTTCCATTCATTCATTCAATTTCCTATAATTATTACTATTACATCACGTTTTTCTATGGTTCACTTTAAACTTAGTTATTATATCGAAATTTTAAATGAATTTTTGTAATTTAGTCAACCACTGGAGTTTTTGATGTTTTCAGTTTTCAGTCAATTACTGAACAAAATAACGTCATCATATACTCAAATTAGTGCTGAAAGTCTCACCTTTTTTGTTTTTAATCAATTGTTTTGTTTTCATTCAATTTTTGTTTAAGTCAACCTTTTTTGTTTTCTTTTTAATCAATTGTTTTATTTTTATAGTCATATTTTGTTTTAGACAACCATTTTCTTTTAAGTTTTTGTTTACAATCAATTGTTTTACTTTTAAGTAATATTTTGTTTTAAATCAACCATTTTTGTTATGTTTTTGTTTTCAATCAATTGTTTTACTTTTAAGTAATATATTGTTTTAGTCAACCATCTTATATTTCATTATTTTTTGTTATTAATCAATTGTTTTGTTTTCATTCAATTTTTGTTTTACTCAACCATTTTTGTTAAGTTTTTGTTTTCAATCAATTTTTTTACTTTTTAATCGTATTTTGTTTTAAATCAACCATTTTTGTTAAGTTTTTGTTTTCAATCAATTGTTTTACTTTTTTGTAATATTTTGTTTCAGTCAACCATCTTATATTTCATTATCTTTTGTTATTAATCAATTATTTTCTTTTCTTTAAATTTTTGTTTTACTCAACCTTTTTTTGTTTTGATTTTAATCAATTGATTTATTTTTTAGTCATATTTTGTTTTAGATAACCATTTTCTTTGAAGTTTTTGTTTTCAATCAATTGTTTTACTTTTTTGTAATATTTTGTTTTAAATCAACCATCTTATATTCCATTATCTTTTGTTTTTAATCAATTGTTTTCTTTTCATTCAATTTTTGTTTTACTCAACCATTTTTGTTAAGTTTTTGTTTTCAATCAATTATTTCACTTTTTTGTAATATTTTGATTTACTCAACCATTTTTGTTTTCAATCAATTGTTTTACTTTTTAGTCATATTTTGTTTCAGTCAACCATCTTATATTTCATTATCTTTTGTTATTAATCAATTGTTTTCCTTTCATTAAATTTTTATTTTACTCAACCTTTTTTTGTTTTGTTTTTAATCAATTGTTTTACTTCTTTTGTAATATTTTGTTTTAATCAACCATCTTATATTTCATTATCTTTTGTTATTAATCAATTGTTTTATTTTTTAGTCATATTTTGTTTTAGACAACCATTTTTGTTAAGTTTTTGTTTTCAATCAATTGTTTTACTTTTTAGTCGTATTTTGTTTCTATTTCTTTAACTTTTACGAATTGAAAGGAAGAACTCTAGTGTCTAATTAATCTTAAAAAATTCTGGCCAAGAGATTACCATCAAAGTCTTGCTTAATCCTAAAAGAAAGGAAACAGACAGACGAAAAAAAATTGACTTTCGATTCGCCAGAAGAAAAAAATTACCTTCTAATTTTGTTTTACAACAGAAATAACCAAAAAAAAAAAAAACAACGAAGATTCATCGCTTACTTATTAAATTTCAAATAAAAATTCATTGATATTGCGGGCAATTAAAAAACATTATCGAAAAATTTAAATTACAAATTTAATTAAAGTTTCAAAAGAATTTAAAAAAAAAAATAATAATCGAAGAAGCTTGAGGTTACAAGAGGGGAAAAAAATGAGACTCGATGAAGAAAAAGAAGAAGACGACTACGAGGATCGGAGAGAAGGAGAAGATATGGAAAAAAAATCTAATTACGATTACTCAACTTTCTCTCCTCTTCCTTCGGCGACAATGACCAGAGGTCATCTCCGTCTCTGACACGGTGAATCGTATATGTTTCGTCTTCGTCGCTCGCCCGTACTTCCACTGCTGCCTTCTACCTCTTCGCTCTAGCTGCTGCACCACCTTTGGTGATGGCACTATAAAAGACCGCGGAGGATCCACGAAAAGTGGCATTTAGTTCTTTGGTGCACTCTGTGGTGAAAACACACAAGGCTCTACAACAACAACAAAAAAATCAATACGTTACATCGTCGAAGCAACGATGAAAGTATTCGTGGTACGTACTCTATTTGTTTTTTTTTTTTTAAATTTATCATTTGTTTCAATTGAATTTTGTTTTAATTGTTCGTTTGTTTCAATTCAATTTCCATTTTGTTTTATTTAACAAGAAAACAAAAACAATCATAGCCTTCTGTAATCTGTAACAATTGAATTACTATATTGCTTTTGTTTTATGACAAATTGAATCATAACGTTATATTTTTATTGTGATTTTATATCTTTTTTTGTTTCTAAATTAATGTCGAGTAATTTGTTAAACAGAAAACAGAAGAGAAAATGCAACTGAATAATTGAATTAATCTTCGCTCTTCGAAATTGGGCTATACGCAACAACTCGTTTCAAGGACGTTAAGATTGGCGCCATCTGTGAATATCGCCTCTCGAATCGATTACAATTGTTTTTTTTTTGTTGTTGTTGTTGTTGTTGTTGTCAAATGTCACCTGTCAATTAGTGAAACGGACGATGTCTGATTTAGGTTAAATCGTTGTAACGAATTATATAAGAATATCGAAATTGACAATTTGGAATTAACATGTCAATGTTTCATTGAATTTGCAGTTTGCGTTTGAAATCGATTCATTTATGTGACTTCTGTCAATTTATTATTGTTTTATGACATATGTCACTTGTCAATTAAGAAAATGAAAGATTTAGTGTTAATTTACGGTATATATGGATATGGGAAGATGTTGAAAGTAAAACTGTTAATAGGTTAGATAAATGTTAGTTTTGTGACATCTGTCAATTCACTAAATGGACGTTTTCAGACGTAGATTGACATTTCGTATATGGAAACAATTGAGAATTTGCTTACATCTGTCAATTAAATAAATTGGATGTATCTCTTCTGAATGGAAACAATGAAGAATTTTTTAAAGATGAAACGAGAAAAAAAATGAAATTGTTGTAAGAATGTGATTTAGTAGCAATTATCAATTGAAAACAAAAGCATTTAATTGACGTTCGAAACAAAAGCTTTTCATAAAACAAAAGAAGCCTCTGTGAGGAATCCACTCGATTGAACGGTAAAAGTAATGAAGAGATTTGAAGAGACGAGTGAAGAGAAATAAAGAAAAAAAGGTTTGCATAATTTCCTAGTTTCTTTACGAGCATTCAAATGAGGGAAAAGACGCAAAATGAGATGTGCGAATTTAACGACGTTCAATTTGCAACCGATCGTTAGGAAACAGATGCAGCGCGAGATTGCGCAACGCCAACGTAATAATCAATTCGTAGCGAGTTTGTTTTTATTCAGTGAGCGATGTTTCTCACGAAACAAAAGAAAAAGAAAAACAAACGAACGAACAATTTGTGCGATGTGATTTATGCAGGATGACAGAAACGGAAGCGAAATCGTCCGATTCGCTTTCGAAATGAAGACGGACACAAACACACACACGCATCAATCGTCCGAAGATAATTCGGAATCATGTCGCAATTATGCGCACGTAAACGGAATCAAAACGAAAGTTTTGATTGTGTGTTAGGTGCCCCACGTTGAGCGCCAAAATATCCGTTTCTCGCTATACCGCAGGTCAGGGCGAAGCGAAAAGTATCCAATTAGAATCAATTAAGAGTAATTAAGTTATTTCGCTACTGTAGGTCAAGGATTTATCTAAATAATTTGCTCCGATTGCGCTCTAATCGTGTTACCTTTTTGCTCTTTTTTCTTTTCTATCTTCACTTGTTTATTTGTTTTTTTTTGTTGTTGTTCTACGTCGACGCGATGCGAGTCGTAGAAAGTAAATCGTTTGGTTAATTGGTGAAACACAATGGGTCATCCTCGCGAACGTGACTATCAAGTCGCCTCTTTCCGGTTCGGCATTGAATTCAAATTCCATTGTTTCCACGGCGCCAAAATCGAGTTCATCCCCTTTCGACGAGAAAGTTACGAAAAGATTTCGCAGAGGTGAAATTGCTCATGGAAATGGAACAGCAACAATTTAAATTATATCGTTTAATTTCACTAATTGAAAGTTATTATACATGTCAAAAGTTCTAATTTAAAGTATATTTGAACTACTAATAACTCAGAGTTATGCAACACTATATACTTTTCTATTTGATTTCGATTTGAAATTTACTCAACTACTGGGACTTATGTAATTGCGAAAAGTTACGCGATTTTTTGTTGTTGTTGTTGTAATCAAATGATGATGATGGTGATGAGGTGTTAACTGACAGGAAACGCGTCGACCAAATATTAACTGAACATTAATTACGTTTGTTGTTCGTGGGATTTAGCGCTTTTGCGAAAGAACAAAGAGAAACTTCTTCCGATTGCTAAATTGCTAGCACATTACAAAACACAATTTCAGTTATTTTTTTTTTAATTTTTCTAAGTTGGTTATCCTTTTATAATTTGATTTGAAAGTTGCATAATTACAATTTATCGAAACTTTAGCTTCTAGTTTTATTAGATTATGCAACCAGATTTACTAGTGTTAACGTTAAAATATGAAGATCACAAAATCCTATACGAAAGTTGCGAAAAACAATTCCACGAAACATTAAACAAAACAGTTAATTTTATACAACCAGATTCACAAAAATATTATTTTAAATTTTAAAGTTGGCAAGTAATTTTGCATAATGACGATTTGGAATTCAAAACTGTGACTCAGTATAATGGATTTGGAAGTTTTGTTAGCAGAAACAGAGTTTACTGCATTAACAAATACATTTTATGTGAATAATAATAATGGTAACTTTTATTTTTATATTAATTTTATGTTTTTTTTTAAGGTGGTATCAGCTTTATTGGCGGCGGCGTACGCTCGTCCAGAGCCGCCAATCGGGGGTGGAGGTGGCTACAGCTACAGCGCCCCTAGCGCCCCCAGCAACTCGTACAGCGCCCCTAGCAACTCGTACAGCGCCCCTAGCAACTCGTACAGCGCCCCGAGCGGTTCGTACGGCGCACCGGCGCCACAATACGGAGCGCCGGTTCAGCAACCCACCGTGCACAAGCACGTCTACGTTCACGTACCACCACCAGAGCCAGAATACCATGCCCCAAGGAAACCCATCCACGTGGCACCACCACAGAAACACTACAAGATCATCTTCATCAAGGTACGATAATATCAATTCTCAATATTTCTATAATAACTATTCCATGCTAATAGAGTTGCCTATCTACATGGATAACTGTGAAATGTGTTGCCTATATACGTGTATTTGAATTTGATTTCAGGCTCCAGCACCACCAGCGCCGACCGCCCCAGTAATTCCAGTTCAACCGCAGAACGAAGAAAAGACTTTGGTCTACGTGCTGGTGAAGAAGCCGGAGGACGCACCGGAAATCACCATCCCAACCCCAGCGCCGACACAACCCAGCAAACCGGAAGTCTACTTCATCAGATACAAGACCCAGGTAAATTATTTATGAATTTTTTTTTTGCTGCAATTTCACCATTTCTTTTTGGTGTTCCAGAAACAAGAGGGATACCCTGAGAGCGGAGTACCGCAGAACCAATACGGTCCACCATCCAATCCACCACCAAGCACCGAATACGGCGCCCCCTCGAGCGGTGGTTATTAAGCGCCCTCTCTGTTTCCATTATGATGTACATATTATCATTTAGGATTAAGGCGGGGGAACGCCCGGCGCATCCACCGATAAACTCCATCTATCAACGAACATTCCAATCAATCGATAAACATACTTTAATCATTTGTTTCGCGGAGTTTATCCTTACTTTAAATATCATATCTTCTGTATAGATTTTTATTTTTTCTTTATTTTCATATAAGCATATACAATTATCAATTTTCTATTGTTTTATACTAGTTTTAAGAGAGCATTTATAACAAAAAAACGGTGATAAATACAAAAGCTTTATACAAAATGTTACACTCTTACACTAAACTTATATTATTATACGTATGTTAAACTAAGGTTAATTATTTTGTTTTTATACGTACCAACATAATAAACAAGACAAATAAACAAAAGATGAAACAATTTTTTTTGTTAATCGAATCGACAGGTAATTGAACATTCAAACACCTGTTCAAAACTCGATGTTTCGTAACCACATCCCACCCGGATGTAAATCACCAAAAAACATACTTAATTCGAAATATGAATGGATAATTATAAAAAAAAAATTGAGACATCAATGAAAGATTTTAAGCAAATCGTAAATAGCAACATCAATCACTAATCGTGACTATCCTTGAATCTCAAGGTCAAATTTCGTTTACATAGATTGCTTTTTTTTTTAATTTGTTTAATAAATAGGAACGTCTGATCTGTCATTAATGTCAACGATGTCAACGATGACATCAATTTGACAGTAATGTAGTTATTGTTTGACAACTGTGGAATGTCAAGGAACGCAATTGCTTCTATAGACTACGCAATTTGTAAATGATGCATAGTTGTTTACCGATCTACATCGAAGATGTCTCGATCGTTCTGACCCGATGATCGATGATCATCAAAAGCATAGGTCGTCATGGAAACGCACAAACGATGATTGCAAAATGAATTGGTTATGCAACCAACAGCTGAAACAAATGATAAACAAATAATAATAATAATAATAAATTTCCAGTATAAAAGTATTTGAAGTTCATTGATTGAGCAATGAACTTGAGGAAGGTTTCAATTTGCTGGAGTTGAGAAGTAATAGAATGGAATGAGGTGGAGGTAGAATGATGAATGCGTAAGACTTGATGAATACACACACACACACACATCATGTGGTGGCGGTGTTGATGTGATTTGTGATACGAGTTTAAGAGCGTTCATCTGACTGTCTACTACTCGTTCGTGGTTGGTGTCTGTTGTCTCATCGTCTCAGTAGTGAACGATAAGTCAGAAGCGTTCAGGAGTCTGTCGTCAATCTAAAAAACAACAAATTTTATTTAACACTTGAACGAGAAGGAAAAAGTTACAAGACGAAAGAAAAAAAATACGTGATTTTCCTCATCATCACCAAAGTTTTTGTAAGTATTATTCTAAATGCATATTTCGACTGGGAAAACTATAAGATTTGAACAACAAAAAAAAACATACTTACATAGTTTACAAATTTAAAAAAAATCTGTAAATAAACAAAATTCGACACAGTTTCTTTTTTTTATATATATGTTTTCAGAATAAATTTGAATTCGTTTTAAATTTTTATCTAAATGAAAATTTGTGTCCAGTTAAACATCATTAATATTTATTAATTTTTTTCTAATCCAATTGAGAAAGTCAGTCAATTCAAAAATCAATCAATCAATTTCTCAATTCAATTCAACGATTACCAAAATATATACGTTTTTTTTTGTTTGTTGTTGTTGTTATGGTGATTACGAAAATTTTACCAATTAAGAAATTCAATTTTTTTTGGAAGCGATCACGTTTTACAACAATAATTATGATTATTTACGATTTCATTGATTTCACTTCATTATTGCTTTATTTTTTTTTTGAATTAATTGATAATTACGAGTTATAAATACAATAAATGGAGATAATTATTATCTTTACATACAAAAATGCAGTGATTCTTATTAATAATGTTGCAAACATACAAATATTAAATTAATAATTTTTATGAAAAATCATTCATACGAGTTTTGTTTTTTTTTTGTTTTTTTTTGCAAATTTTTGTAACAAATGAAGGTCAGAGAAAAGAATCACGCTATGTTTTTTAATTATTAATCTTTTCTTAATTGCGGCAACTAATTTGAGACACGGCAATAATCTTAATTGGTAATAAATGCATTTTTTTTTCATTTCTCCAATAAATCAAACAAACACACGAATAAAAAATTGCACTCATAACCGCATATTTACGTACAAATAAGTATTCTTTTAATTATTCGTTCGTGTGCGTTTACTTTTTCGTTTTTTCTTCTTTTTTTTTCAATATTTTTGTTTTGCTCCTATAAACGTCCATTTTTTTGTTTGTTAATAGATAAATAATAACTTTGTTATTGGATTGGAGATAAATTTAAAAAAAATGACATTTTAATTTTGACATTTCGAACTGTTTTGACGTTCGATGATTGTGATAAATTCACTGATTCTAAGTGACATGAACATATTGACTTTTCACATTGAATTGTTTATTCGTAAAGTCTTGTTACGTCAAACATTTGACAGTTTACAATAACATGACTACGATTGACGTTTTATATTGAATTTCATTATTTCCTCTAGGATTTGCTTTGCTTTTCTTTTCGTTTATTTAAAATGATTGTTTCAGCATAAACTCTCAATTCAAAAATTTTACTATTTGAAGTAATATGAACTATTCGACGTTTGACATTGAATTGTTTCTTGAAAAACTCTAGTTACGTCAAAAATTTGACAATTTACAGAGTGACGTGACTATTTTGACATTTTAATTTTGACATTTCGAACTGTTTTGACGTTCGATGATCGTGATAATTTGATTGATTCAAAGTGACATCAACATATTGACGTTTCACATTGAATTGTTTATTCGTAAAGTCTTGTTACGTCAAAAATTTGACAATTTACAATAACATGACTACGATTGACGTTTCCTATTGAATTTCATTATTTCCTCTGGGAATTGTTTTGCTTTTCTTTTCGTTTATTTAAAATGATTGTTTCAACATAAACTATCAAGTCAAAAATTTTGAAGTAATATGAACATTTTGACGTTCATTTGTAATTGTTTCTAGAAAAACTGTAGTTACGTCAAAAATTTGACAATTTACAGAGTGACATGACTATTTTGACGTTTTACATTGAATTGTTTCTTGAAAATCTATAGTTACGTCAAAATTTTGACAATTTACATAGTGACATGACTATTTTGACGTTTGACATTGAAATTAATTATGTCAATGCTACAAGTTTTATATTACGTCAAAAATTTGACAATTTGATGTGACAGTTTTGACGTTTAATTTTTATTTACTATTTCCATTGACGAATCGTATGTTAATCAATTCATTAATAAAAATATATCTTTTATGAACATAATATGCAAATCGAGACTAATTCATTGATTTAAAAACTAGTTTGCGAGAAACACGAAACATAAACGTCCAAATACATAATTTATATGATATTTTTTTTTTGTTTTTATTATATTTCTTGGCGAAATTTTGCCAAATATAAATTCGTAATCAAGTTATATTTGAGATGTCCTTGGAGAGAGGAGTAGTGAGAGAAGCGAGGAATCCGGAAGGCGATGACCCGTCTAGATTTCGCGTGGATAACACAAAATTGCTGACCCAAAACAAAATGTAATGTAAACTTGGATAATTTTGATAAATAAATAACAACGAGATTGCTACACTTCTCGACAGTCTCTCATTCTCACTCTCCTCTATTACTTTTTTTTTTTAAATAAATTTTAAACCGAATGCTGTAGTAACCTTCGCTTTGCGTTTAGCAGCCTTTCTACATCTTTCATCTGCATATAGTAATAACATCAATGGAAATCTTTCCATATTCTCTAAAAACTTATTTTGTTGTTGTTGCTGTTGTTGTTGGCATGGAAATAACAAGCGTTGTCAACAATTCGAGGAAGATGTCCATCTTAGTTTGTCGCATCCTGCTGTCAAGAGGGGGAATCGTTGCAGGAAACTGCAGCAATCATCTTCAACGTTATTGGATGCAATGTTACACGATTGCTTACGGGCATTTGCATAAGCAAAGAAGGTGGTTCCCTCATCAATTATGCAAACAAACTTACTGTCCGAGCGCGCCGCTTATTTATTCACCGATTTCGTTCTCATTCGACATCTGACATTCTCGGATTCTCGGATTCTTTTGTTTTCTATCAGTTTATTAGTAAAAAAAAACTTGATTCATTTGTTTCCGAGATTGATTTGTTTATCGAATGGGGGATTCCTTGATTCATTTGTTTTTTTTTTGATCATACTTAATTCAATTGTTTATCGAGTAGTGTTTGTTTTTTTTAATGATACTTGATTAATTCATAATTGTTTATCGATTCGCATTTTTTTCTACATTTTAAACATAGGATTCACTAAATTTCAATTTAGTTAAAATTAACGTACATTATGTAATTAAAACAAAAAAAAACGTAACAAGTTGGCGTGTTAGTTACGTTGTTGTTTGTTTTCTTTTTTTTTTTTGGAAAAATGTGTAATTTATTGAAATTACTAATATTTATCGACGTGACGCGTGTACAAATTATGACTTAAATTTACACATTTATATGCATTATTTGGATCCATTCTATCTTTTATAGTTTCCGAGAAAATCAATAAAATGTGAAAACACTGCTTTTTTTAACGTTTTTTCAAATTTAAACACGAATTACAGCCAAACCGATGAAACCACAATAATATATGAATACTCGTTACATTCCCCAAACATTCAGCTTTCATATGCATCTTTTGGATCCATTCTATCTTTTATAGTTTCCGAGAAAATCAATGAAATGTAAAAACACTGCTTTTTTAACGTTTTTTCAACTTTCAACGTGAATTACAGCCAAACCGATAAAACCACAATAATATATGAATACTCGTTACATTCCTCAAACATTCAACTTTCATATGCATCTTT